CACATTCAGTCTGTGTCTTCAAAAATACCTACTTAGATATCAGAACCATAGATCCACCTCTGATTCAAATATTCATTCAACAAATGTTTTTTGAATACCTATTATGCACCACTCACTTTTCTAGGGACTATGAGATGTCAGTGAAAAAATAAACCAAAAATCTCTGCCCTTTTTGAGTTACAACATTCTAGAGAGGGGGAAGATAGATAATAAGTCATAAGGACAATAAATAAGTAAATTGTGTCCTACCGTGGAAGGTGATATTCTCTGGGGGAGAAAGGAGAATATTGAAAAGGATGAGACGGGGTTAAAGAAGAGGCAGAAGGAATTGCAGTGAAGGAGAGGCAGATGGAAAGGTTAAATGTGCGATTTGAAATAGGGTGGTCAAGGTGGGCTGTATTGAAAAGGTGGTGTTTGAGCAACACTTTGAAGGGAGTGAGAGAATTAGCCACATGGATATCTGAGGAAAGAGTATTTCAGGAAAAGGAATTTGCCAATGGAAGTTATCTAGAAACCTGGCTTTGTGTTTTCAAGAAGCATCAGACCACCAGGCCTGGAAAGGAGTAAGAAGTATAGTGAAAAATGAGATTGGTAGATTAAGGGGGTTGCAGGACAGACCATGTGAGGTGAGTCATTGAAAACCCAAAAGTATTATGCTCAGTGAAATAAGTCAGTCAGGGAAGAACAGATATCATATGTTTTCACTGATATGTGGATCTTGAGAAACTTAACAGAAGACCATGGGGGAAGGAAGGGGGAAAATAGTTACGGAAAGGAAGGGAGGCAAACCATAAGAGACTCTTAAATACAGAGAACAAACTGAGGGTTGATGGGGGGGGCGGTGCAGGGGAGAGAGGAAAATGGGTGATGGGCAATGAGGAGGGCACTTGTTGGGGCGAGCACTGGGAGTTGTTTGGAAGTCAATTTGACAATAAATTATATTCATAAGCACAAAAAAGAAGAGCCTTTGGCTTTTATCCTAAGTGAGATGGGAGGTAACTGCAATGTTTTGATCAGGGAAGTGGCACAGTCAGCCATACTTTTAAAGAGGATTCTGTGGCCACTATGTTAAGGATAGAATAGCAGGGATCAGGGAACACTCTGAGTATAGAATATAAAAAAGCAAAGTTAAAAGTAGTGAAATCAGTTGTAATACTACCATGAGAGATGTTGTGGCTTACACTAGAATGGAGGCAGTGACCGTGGTAAGAAGGCATCAGGTTCTGATTTATTTTGAAAGTACAGCAAACAGGATTTCCTCATAGTATGAGAGAGAATGAGAAGAATTGAGGATGACTCTAACTTTTTTTTGGTCTAAGGATCTGAGAGAGTGAATTTAACATCAGTGAAGATGAGAAAAGCTTATAGGGGTAGAAGAGATTCTAGGTGGGAAATTAGGGGTTCAGTTTTTGGCATGGTCACTTGGAGATGTCCTTAAGACTTCCCAACGGAGGGCCACCTGGGTGGCTCAGTCGGTTGAGCGTCTGACTTCAGATCAGGTCATGATCCCAGGGTTCATGAGTTCAAGCCCCACATTGGGCTCTGTGCTGACAGCTCAGAGCCTGGAGCCTGCTTCGGATTCTGTGTTGCCATCTCTCTCTGCCTCTGCCCCTCCCGCTCATGCTCTGTCTCTATTTTTCTCAAAAATAAACATTAATAAAAAAGACTTCCCAGTGGAGATGATATAGAGAGAGTTGGAAGTCTGGGTGAGAGATTTGAGAGAGGTCAATAAATGGATGGGGTTTAAAATCATGAGAATGGAGGAAATCAGCACAGGACTAAATACAGCGGAAAAACTGAACCAGAGCTGAGGCTGAAGCCCAGATAAAAAGGGACATGTTTCTCAGGGAACCAAACCCAAAGCCTTGACTGGTGGGTGAAAACAGAGTAGGCAATAGGAAGAAAGATAAACTTCAGCTTCGGGGACTTGAAGAAGGCATGTCTAAGAGGTCTCATCTCCTGAATCACATAATGGCTGCCTTGAGTTCTGTCTGAAGAAGATTCTGGGACCATGTCTTGATGTGAAAGAAATTAGTGATTAGTGTTATCTGTTACAGTTATGGAGTGCTGAGTGACAGCAGGCAGGGCAGCATTGGATTTTGACCATTTTTTTTTTGCTGTGAGGAAAGGCCATGTGACTAAGAGTAAGTGGCACCTGATGTTTGGAGAGTTCACTGAATGCTTTCAACTTACTGCGAGTCAATTTGGTTTATAGCAATATTGGTATAGAACTTGTTGCTGAAATTACCTGATGTGTGTAAGAATAATTTAATGCTCTTGATCCATTAGCATATATTGGACTTAAGTATGTGAAAGGTGATCCATGAAAAAAGAATAGAGTGAAAGAAGTTCTGTAATAAGCAAGATGACGAACATAATTTGTGGACTCAGGGGACAAACTGAGAAAGTCAAAACCCCAGGCAGAGTGGAACTTTTAGCTATGGCTCTATGAAAAGTGGGGCAAATCCACCCCCAAATGCACCCACAGTAATGGAAAAACTAACATATGCAACCAAGTAGTTCTTTGGAAGTCAACCAAAGGCACAAAATAATCTGAGAAGTGCTTGTGCTTCAAAAACGGCTGAACTTTCCTGTAGGAAGAGTGGGAAGCTCTAACCTTATAGCCTGAGCCTTCTCCATCCACCTCACCCCAACTTCTAGGTCCTGCCAAGGTAGGAAAGCCATGATGAACAGCAGCCTCTCTGCCAGGGTTGAGGAGACTCAGCCAATTTGGACAGGTGGGCAATGCAAACACTCAACAAAGGTATGAGTAGAAATGATTGTATTGTAGGTGGACAGTTGGGAAGAACCACATTTGTGGTCAAAGACAGCGTATTCCTGTCTGAGGCTATATATGTGCATAATGAAGACTGAAGAGAGCACAATCCCTTCATGTACTTCTGATTAATCCTGAGTCTGAGTGCATGAGCATGAGAGACTCAAAAGGGCCCAGAAGAAATTAAAATCCAAGAGGCTTAAAAACAGCCTGGATTTTAAATGTGTTCTCCTACCCACAAACTTATCCCAGCAGCAATAAATGGAAGCTTTACTTGTTCAGTGTGTTAGAGCATGGTTGACGTGCAACCATTAGTTGACCACTGAGCTGCCCAGATGCAGGAGCAACCTCTAGCAATCCAGGTTTAAAAAAGAAGGATGTATTTTTAAAACCACAGCATGTTAGCAGAGACACTAGTGACTCAGGGGACACAGATATAGCCCAGGCAAGTTATTAAACAAAGCAGTAGCAACAACAACCTCCAAGGGGGAAATAATACCAGAATCAGAGTAGCTGTAATATATTAACTAGAATGTCCCATTTTTTTTAAGAAAAAAGTTAAGAGATGTGCCAAAAAACAAGAAAGTGTGACCCACACTCAGGCAAAAGAAGCAATGAATAGAAACCGTCTCTGCGTTATCAGCTATTAGCAGACAAAGGAAGGCTTCAAAGTGACTATTACAAATATGTTCAAAGAACTAAAGGAAATTTTATTTAAAGAATTAAAGGAAACTGTAACAATAGATCAACAAACAGAGATTCTTAATAAGGATATAAGATTATTAAAAGTACCAAGTAGAAATTCTATAGCTGAGAAGTATAATAGCTGTAAAAAAGAAAGAAAATGTCACTAAAGGGGCTCATCAGCAGGTTTGAGCATGCAGAAGGAAAAATCAGTGAACTATAAATTGGTAGAAATTATCTAATCTGACGGATAAAGACAAAAATGAACAGAGCCTCTGAAACCTAGTGAGATAAGATCAAGCATAACAACATCCATATAAGGGGAGTCCTGCACGGAGAGAAAAGAAAGGGACAGAAAAATTATTTCAAAAAATAGCAGCCCCAAACTTCCCTAATTTGATTTTTAAAAGGCATTAATCTATACATGCAGAAAGTTCAAAGAAACCAAAGCAGGATAAATATAAATAGATCCACACCTTGACACATCATAGTCAAACTGTGAAAAGCCTAAGCCAAAGAGAAGATTTTGAAAGCAGCAAGAGAAAAACAACTCATCATCTACAGGCAAACGATGATCCAATTAGATGCTGGCTTTGCATCTAAAACCATGTAGGCCAGAAGGCAGGAGAAGGATGTATTCAGAATGCAGAAAGGAAAGTAATGGTCAAATGGGAATTCGCTGTCTACCAGTACTATTCCTCAAAAATGAAGGCAAAATAAAGGCATCTCCAGATTTAAAACAAAACAAAACAAAACAAAACAAAACAAAAAAAACTGAGCAAATCTGCTGCTAACAAATCTATCTTATGAGATATACCAAAGGAAAGAAGTTCGTCTGGAAAAGACAGCAAAAAGCAACACAATCTACAGGAAGAAATGCAGACCACTGCAAATAATAAATATGTAGGTTGGTATAAAAGATTCCTTTAATACACCTTTTCTCATCTTTCCCCAGCTTCTTTAAAAGACCTAAGACTGTATGAAATAATAATATTAATACTCTGGGGTTATATTTATAATCTGTAGATTGAATATATATGACAATAATAGCACAAAGGCAAGAGATACTGGTATTATATTAGGGCAACGTTTCTAAATTTTCAAATTACTATTCATCTGAGGAAGGCTATGATAAGTTAAAATGCATGTTGCAATCCCTAGAGTGGCCACGAAGAAAATAACTCAAAAAAAATATAATAAATCCACAGAAGAATGACAGTGTCACACTAAAATATTTGCTCATCACAAAGAAGGTGGCCAAAGAGGAGCAGACAGTCAAAAAGGACAGGAGACATATAGGAAATCTAAGGCAGGTCTTTGGTAAAATTTCTCTTTTTGCTGTCATGTGATTTTGGTAAACAGGGAACTGAAGATCTAGAACAAACAGGACGGTCTGCTTAATTTGTGGACTGAAGTCAAAATGAAACGCAAGGTCCCTGTTCAAAAAGTATTAGGGATTTCACGATGGTGGCTGCCACCTTTGAAGAAAAACAAGTGGTCCTTCTGAGCACAGGGCTCTGTGACTGCACAAGTTGCTTACCCATGAAACTATCCCTCATTACAGGTTGGAGGCTACCGCATCCCAGGTTCCTGCTCTTTCTGTAAACATCCTCTGGAAATATAATACCTTCTGTTCTGATCTCTCCCTCCCTGTTGTCTTTTCCTTTACCATCCTTGAATTCCGAGTCTCCAGAATTTGGGAAGAACTCAACCCTTCACAATTAAAAGTCCACAAAATGGGATCCAAGCACTCATATCATATCCATGTGAGCAGCTCTGACTACACTTTGCTACAGATTTTTTTGCATTAAATCCTGTAATTCCCTTATTTGTGCTGACTCTGTGGATTTCAAGGGCAGCTGGCATTGTCAGCAAAGGCAGCAAGGCGGTCTCAGAGAAGAACATCATTCTACGTAGCTGATATTCATCAATTCGCCTGACAACATGTAGTATACAGAAAAGCCATGAAGGAAGGGTCTGTGTGGGATCGTGCTGGAGAGAGCTGATGAACTTGTTAGGGTAGCCGTTACCTCGTGGTTCACTTGTGCAATGATCTCATCGTGTCTTCATAATTAGGCTTTATGACTACCACACACATAATTGACTGCGATGCAGTTCACTAGTCAGACACACTGGAGAGCACTCTGTGAGATCATGGCCCTAAATCAGGCAGGCCACCTCTACTCAGGCTCTGACAGGTAAATTTTGCCTGCTTACACTTTATGATAAGCGATGGTCCCCTCTGGTCCTTCAGACCCTTGTCATAGTTGCTGTTCTGAAAAAAAAAAAAAAAAAAAGTGAATGATGATGAGCATGGAAACAAGTTGTCACCAATGAATATTATAAATCTTTTGATTTCAAGTCAGAGACAATCTAGCTCAAAACTTGCTTAATTGAAAAAGGGAACTTAGACTCTTGTGTAGCTGAAAAATGCAGAAATAGTCCAAGCTTTGGAGCAAGGCTTAAGCGGCTCAGTTTTATCATCCAACATTTTACTTTCCTTTTCCTCCTTGGTCTTCTGTGGTAGCTTGTTTAACCCTAACGTTGGATTTCTTCAGAGTTTCAGAATGATTTCTCATACCTTCTTGATCTTTCTTTTTCTGTGTAAATGTCCAGCAAGGAGAGAGAGAATCGCTTTCCTTAAAGCTCGCTGAGCCAGAAAGCATTTTTCCCAGAAGCCCCCAGAAGACATCTCCTCCTTTATTGCTGGCCTGAACCACATCTTCTGGCTTGAGTTAACCACTGTGAAAAGGCCAGTGGGATGTGCTGCTTGGCTTAAAGCAATCAGGATTCTCCTCTAGAGCTCAGTGGGCTGCACGGTAGAAGCAGTTACCAGATGGAGAGAGAACGCTATGTGCTGAGAGTGTGAAGGCATCAGAAGGCCACTATTCCCTGGTGACCACCAGGCCCTGAACTCCACACCAGGTGACTGTAGAGCCAGGATGTTGAAGGGAGCAGGGAAGAGGTGTGGGGAGCACTGGGCTCCCTCCTACCATCTAGCTTATAGTCCAACATGTGAGTAACACCAATACAAATGAAAAGCCATCAAATGTGCCCAATTGTGAACATCATCCTGCAGCCCCTGAACTCAGAGGTAGAGTCCTGGAAAGATGTTTATGTTCTGTTGTAAAAAAAAGGTAATGGAAGCTTTTCTTGACACTCTTGGATAGCCAGTAGAAATAATAACCCTGAACCCCATGCACATCTGGGAAAAATGTATAGGAAAGCAGAAACCATAGGGATTGAACCTCAACTACCAAGGGGATGAGGGAGTGAATTGATGTTAAAATATTCACTGATTCCACTGACATTTATCAATACCTGCTGTGTGCTTGACCTAGGTGCTGCATGGGATGTGTAAAGTATAGCATGGTGTCTCAGAACACAGGCCTCGGAGTCTCTCAGACCTAGAAATGAATCCCAGATCTGTCCCTCAGTCTCTGTGGCTCTCAGCTGCCTCATGTATAAGGAGAAGATGCACCTACCTCAAGTTGTGGATAACTTGAGACAGAGAATAAACTTAAGAAAATGAAGCACTCGCCCCCAGTGACTGGCACGTTTATAGTCACAAGAAATGGTAGTTATCTTAATCACAACTAGACGTAGTGGTAGTTATTGTCACCATAGGGTAGTAAGACGTGGCTTCTGTTCTTCAGATGCCTGTCACAGAGAGGAGCAGTGAAATATGTCCAGGTGCTGAATGTTGGAAGAGGAATAGAGATGAAATGACAGAAGTTACAGGAAAATGGAACTTTTCTGTGTGGGGAGGGGAGAAGCCTCCCTGATGGGCATTTTACATGCAGAAATTCCTGGGCTTGTGTTTAACTTTAGGTGACATCTTTTGGGTCTTTTCTCTTATGTCTTTTTAAGAAACCAAATCTTAAGTGTCAGTACAAAGGGCTGCAAGAGCAAGCTACATGAGTAACATTGACACTTGCTTAAGAGAACATTCTCTCTGGAGAGGGCGACTTGCCGGATGTCTCCATTGCTCTGTCTTGCCTTGTGTGGGAGATGGAATTGTTGTGGCCTGTCCACAGGGCAAAAGGAGTAGCTGCTGTATTCATGGCTCAGAATGGGTCTATTAGATTATACGCTCATAGGCTGCTGGTAATCTGTTTAACGGAGCTCAGTCATTTGTCTTGTTTGCTGACTACTTAGCAGATGGATTTGCGATTTTCGTAATTACTCTATGAACATTAATAAGACATGATATCTTTTATTAATTACTATGTCATGTGGTTTGTTTTCTAAAATAGCAAAAACTCGGATTTGCAAAATTTGCATTTGGAGATTATTCGTTCTGGAATGAATTTCTGCTCTTGAATTTTTTACTCAAGAACAAAGACTGGAACCACTGTATTGTACTCTGCACCCTGTAAAAGGCTAATTTGGTCTGGTTAGCCAGAAATGGTTTCATTTAGAGAAGTGCTCCTTTATACATTTTCCATTTTAGTTCTACCCAAAGAGGTTTTGGTGTTTAAAGGATAAAATACTTTCAGAGAACCTATGTAATGCTGTAAGAATGATTTTCTAATAGAATTGAATGAGATTTGGACCTGATTTTCAGAGGCACGTGGGCAATGCTGATGTATTCACTCCCCCACCATGCACAACACACACACACACACACACACACACACACACACACACACACGAGCTTAATAGGACACAACAGCGTGCCAGAGGCTGGGAGCAGATTGGTAGAAGTTTCATCTTGCTCTGTGTTTCTCTCCCCTCCCTACACGAATGTGCCAGCAAGCCATCCTGAAAAGCCATTTCCTAGTCGGGACTGGAAGTCCTGCAGTCATGTAGCAAAAAACAGCATCTCTTCTAGAGTAACTCAGTCGGAAAGTACTTCTGAACAAAGCAATCAGGTGGCGTGTTGTTACTGCCCTCCCTGAAGAACTCATTTAATGACTCCTAGGAGGGTACAGTTTCCTTTAAAGATCCACTCCTGCGGTGCTTTGAACTGCCTGAACATCCCATTGTTGACAGCTTCAACAAGCATTTCTTGAGCACACACTGTGTGCCTCACACTGTATTAGGCTTGGCAAGGGCTTTATAGCGCGCAGTGAAGACAGCCTGTGCCACAAGGGGTTTATAGCCCACATCCCTGGTTATTACAGGGGTAGCCATGATGCCAATTTGCTTTGGCACTAAACTTACACTAGCAGATAAGCTCAAAGGAATAGTCTGCTTATCTCTGTCCAGTACCCTTTTCAGTAGCTCAAATGTATGCTAATAATTAATATAGCTTTCATTTATTAAGTGCCCATTATGCGCCATATGTTATGTTAAGTGCTTTACATGCATTTTCTCACTGGCTCTTCATACAAACAAACACACACACACCATTGGTAATTATATGTATAAGCCCATTTTATAGATGAACAACATCTTGATTAATGTATCAAAAATCACATAGCTGTTAAGTGGCCGAGCTATGTGAGGGGTTGCCATTATATACAAAGTGAACTAACTTAATTCTGAAAATTAATATTTAATTCAGTGGCCATTTTCATGGCACTACTGAACTGTTTTCAGCTTTAGAGCTCTTATTCTGGCATAATCTAGAAATTAAACACAGGGCTTTTTATCTGACCACATAGCAAGTTCTGGAGATACTGGTTAGCTGTCCATGGGGACCTCTGTAAACTGTGTCCATTTGGGCCAGGTGAATCTCTCCGTGATGCCTCACTGAAAAGATGTATGACAGTAATTGGTTACCACCCCACGGAAGTTATGGGAGAATGTGGAGATTACTGCATCATGTCTCTACTGGGTGGTCTGTTGCTCTGGCTCTGTCTTTGTTGCCTGGGCAACCTCTCCCAGAATGTGAGAAACTCACTTTCCCTTTTTTCATGTAGATCTGTGGGAAGATCTAAAAGTTATAGCTATGGGTTGCCTGTTATCCACTACCACCTATAGTGGAGAGATGGAAGCCATATTTGGGGAAAGCACTCCATTGTGCCCCAGGTACAGAAAGACTCGGGATCACTCAGCCTCCCTCAGGTACCTTTAAAGCAGATGAGAGGAAGATCACCTTCCAGAACCCCAGCAGCTTTCTATACTCAATTTTTCTGTAAGATGAACGCTCTATAGTAATTGTCTTTATTTTTCCTGTGAGAGTTGGAGGAAATTTTGAGAAGGCAGTGCTGTGGAGTGATTGTGAACTTGGGTTTGAGCATCAGTCTTGGGTCCAAAGCTTAGCTTCACCATTGGCTAAGTGTATATCTTTGGGCAAATTATTCATCCCCTCTTAATCTGTTTCCTCCTCTCTGCAATGGAAAAACTCAAATATATATTTTGTATGTAATTGATTTCCATTCATTTATTCAGAGTCTACTCATATGACAGGCAATTAGTTCCATGCTTAGGGAAACAACTTTGATAAGAAGGCACAATGCCTGCCAGCCTTCACAAAGGTTAAATCTACTACCAAAGGTACATATCTAACTAGTCACTGCAGGTATTGAGTTACAGAAGAGGAAGTAGAATGAATCATGGAAGCAGCCAACAGAGAAGCCGACGTAGTCTAGGTGGAATTGGAGACAAATCTCCCTAGGAAAAAGGGAGTGAAATTTTGAGGGAAAGTTCGAATTCACCAGGTGAAGGGTAGAAGAAACGTATTCTCAGGGGAATGTACTTAAAAGCCTGTAGGCAAGAGAGAGCACAAAACATAAGAAGAACCAAAAGCATTCGGGTACAGATAGAACCAAAATATTCAAGGGAGGTGCCAAGTGCACAAGATGAAGTTGAGAGTTGCACAGGTTGATGGCGTCTTAGAGGGTCTCATAAACTCTGTTAATTTACTTGGACTTTGTCCAAAAGGCAATGGGGAGTCCTTGAAGGGTCTCTATGGGACTGACGTGGGGCAGAATTGTAAGGATTGAATAAAATACTGTGTACACAGGCTTAGCATAGTGTTAGCGCCTCATCCCCACTCAGTAGAAGGTACGTGCTGTTGTTCTCGTCTGTGAGTTCTTCATTACTCTTA